TGTGAATTACTAGCAAGAATCTAAAAGTCCTGTTGAGGATAACTGCCCAGAGACTAGAATGCTTTCAAAAGAGATTTGGCACGTGTTATCACATACAGAGCTGTGAGAAAACCATACACATTCAATGAGATGGTTCTTGCTAACCATCTCCAAAAATACTCTTCTGTATATTTCTGATAGATAAAGACAGCAAAGGCCTCTCACTGCCATCACAGGGAAATGCAACTCTTCACCAACAAATATGACTTTCTTTCTTTTTAAAAAAACAGGGTACAGTGGGCTTTGAAAATCAGATCAACAAATGCTTGGAACTGGCTGAATACCTCTATGCCAAGATTAAAAACAGAGAAGAATTTGAGATGGTTTTTGATGGTGAGGTAAGCTGTCATCCTGGACTACATGTATAGAATATCTATTGATGGAAGTTTACTGAGGGAAGCTTCTGAAGCTGTAGTGTCCCACATTACCAGAAGCTGCTTCTGAATTTCCATTCTATGCACTCCTCATTTACTTCCCTCTGTGTTCACAAATGTTTCTTCCAGTAGCATTGGGACAACTTTTCCCCTTCTCTTACAGAAAGGTGTAGTTCTCAGCCAGCTCTTCATAGACAAGAGGTCTTTCCTTGGCAGGTCTGAACCCTGTATCATTCTTGGAACTTATTGTGGTGGTGTACCTCCATGAGAAAGTGTTCTTCAGTTCCAGGAAGCTCGTGGGATGGGTATACTGATCCTATACCCTTGTCTCCCAAGACTGGTCCTAAAATGAAGTTGTACTTTACATAGATTCATTGTGATGAGAGCAAGATAAAATTGTCTCTGCCCTGAGTTCAGATCCACACTGCACACAGGAAGGTGCTTGTTATTCTGGTGTTGGCTGAGTGCCTGCCGTGTGTCTTGCCCCAGACTGGGAGCTTGGTTGTATGTAGAGTAGTGACAAAAACAGGTACCATCTCTCCCCTGTTGGAGCTCACAGCTGAATAAAGAAAGCTGGAATAGGAGCCAGTGCTGAATGGAAGGAATTACACTCATAATCCAGTGTAATAAAACACTGCCTGCATTCAACTCAGTCTATTTATCAGGCACCTAAACTACTAGTAACACTCTGGAGAGTCGCCAAATGAACAAGAAAGAGCCCTAAGCAGTTCAAATCCATCATACAGTGCTCATGTGTTTCACCTCTGGTGCCTCACGCTCATCATTTACACTATTTTAAATGTTCCACTAGCAGGTTAAGATGAATGTGATGTCTCCAACCCATGAAAGGTAGGCACAGTGATGGCAGACAGCAACTAGGAAGGAAACTGAAAAACTGTAGCAAGAATACAGTAGTACTCAAAAAGCATGAGAGTCCTTAGAGAAGGACCACTGAACAATTCAGTATATATCAGTCAGCCCTGTCTTACAGTTTAGAACCAGTACCAGTGTTCATTATAATAATCCTGAATTATCAGGAGAAGGTTTAGTATTGATAGAATAAAGTCAAAACATTCAGTACCAAAACAATTAACAATGCTTTGAGCATCTTCTATATATGAGGCAAGATGGATAATACCCTTTATTGAAATGACTGAAATGTAGTATTTTTAACATTTCAGTGTTCAAAGGTGGGTAACTTTAATCATCCAGAAAATTGGTTGTGGGAAATAGCTCTCTTCCCAGTAATGATGGGATAAACCAGGCTTTGTTCTCCCAAGTATAGAAGTAACATGAAGCCTTTTTGAGGGATGGGGGTGGGGAGTTAGAACAGCTTTCTCTCAAGTTCTCTTAATTTTCTGTTTTGTTTTTATGCATGCTTGTTTGTGAAAATTGCTGCAGCCTGAGCATACGAACGTCTGTTTCTGGTATATCCCACAAAGCCTCAGGGGTGTTCCAGATAGCCCCGAACGACGGGAAAAGCTACACAGGGTATGGAATCTCTCCTTGTCTCTTCTAACCCTCTGCAGTTTCTCTGGCTGGTCACAACATCCTCACTCTAGGAGTCTGTCTGAACAGCAAGAAATAAAAGCTAAAGGTTTGGGGTGATACGGAGACATCTTGTTATATTCTTCTTCTTGGGTCTGAATTGTCCCCACTGTGGTTCAGATGCAGTGGGAATTTCTAGGGAATGCATCCCTGCATGAGGTTGGTGTTTGTCATCAGAGGGACCATGTGCTGTACAGTTGAATAATATACATATTCCTCGGAACTTCTGTACTAAACCATGTCTGTTAAAATATCTTTTATTAAGTTTGAGTCAACTCTAGTGCTGATTCATTTTAGTTACTGGTTTCTATATCTAGTTTATATGTTACTTATAGTTGTTTGTATTTAATTTATATAATATTTCACTCATCTAATCATTCAACAGATATTTGGTGAGCAGAGTTCATGTGCCAGACAGTATCCCAGGTGCTGGATTATACAGATGTCTTCATTTGTATTGTTGCCCATGTGAATTTTTCATTTTTGTTCTTGATTTTGACTTTATTATCATTGTCCTGTGTCTGACTTTAGAAATTCAGTTGCACGATACTTTCTGTAGGAATGTATGATTGAGTAGACTTAAATAGTCATTAGTGGCCATCATCAAAAAAGTTACAAATAATAAGTGCTGGAGAGGGTGTGGACCAAAGGGAATCTTCCTACACTTTTTGTGGAAATTGGTGTAGCCTCTATGGAGAACAGTATGGAAGTTAGCTATAAAAAGAATGAAATAATGCCATTTGCAGCTGCATGGATGAACCTAGAAATTATCATACTAAGTGCGGTAAGTCAAACAGAGAAAGACAAATATCACATGATATCACTTAAATGTGGAATCTAAAAAATTATATAAACAAACTTATTTACACAATAGAAGCAGACTCACAAACATAAGAAACAAACATGGTTACCGAGGAAAGAGGGTAGGCGGGAAGGACAAATGAGGAATTTAGGGTTAGCAGATACACACTGCTGTATATAAAATAAACACTAGGTCCTACTGTATAGCACAGGGAGCTATGTTCAATATCTTGTAATAACCTATAATGAAAAAGAGTCTGAAAAATAACCTGTGTATGTGTGTATAACTGAATCACTTTTCTGTCCACCCGAAACTATCACAGTATTGTCAATGAACTGTTTATGTCAATGTAAAAATTAGTCATTAGATATTAACCACTGAAGAAATTTGGATATAAAATATTTCTTTGCCTTTGTGTCAGTGTAAATACATAATGAAAAGCAGATTGCTCTTTTTTCCTAGCTAAGAAATGGGTTGTATTATGAAAAAGAGCATGGTGTTAGTATCAATCTTGAGTTTTGTCTTGTGTTTTCCCTTACAAGGTGGCCCCGAAAATCAAAGCCCTGATGATGGAATCTGGCACAACCATGGTTGGCTACCAGCCTCAGGGGGACAAGGCCAACTTCTTCCGGATGGTCATCTCCAACCCAGCCGCTACCCAATCTGATATTGACTTCCTCATTGAGGAGATAGAGAGGCTGGGCCAGGACCTGTAATTGCCACGCACAGTACATCAGTTTCTGGGACTTCCCTTTCCCCTCTGCACTCTAGAACAAACCTCTATATGTTGCTGAAGCACATAGGCCATTTCATTGAGGGAAAATATAATATCTTGAAGAATACTGTTAAAACCTTCCTTAAGCTTATTAGAGTTAGCCAGAAATAATGTTCTTTTTCAAAAGTTGCACATTAGGAGCCCAGTATATATGTACAGTTATATATACCTCTCTCTATAAATACACATCTGTATAGTGAGTGTGGTAATAGATCACAGCATGTCTCCCACTCCAAGAGAATCCATTTTACCTTCTTCCTCAGTTACTGAGGGGCCAAACATGCCGCAAACCAGCTTGCCCAGCCACCGCAGAGAAGATGTTTTTTCAAAATGCAGTGTGTTAGGGACCAAGGAAAATGCTGTTGGCAGGCATTGACCTCACTGTCAGTATTTCACCCATCTGAAGTCATGATGGATGAGAAAAAGTGCCACTGGGTGACAAGAGTCCCACCCTCCCCATTAGTATCCTGTTAGGGGAAAACAGTAGCAGAGTCATTGTTTCAGGTGTACTATTGCTGTATATTTAGAGTTTAATTTTGTGTAGTTTGTGCATATTTCTGTTGTTTGTCCTTGGGAGGGGGAGGGGAAGAATATATGTAATGATCTCAATGACTGTTTGTAGGTAAATGAAATATTTGCTTATTTATATTCAGAGATTTACCATGTTAAAGAGGTGTCTTGTATTTTCTTCCCATTTGTAATGTATCTTATTTATATATTAATGCAGTAAGTTCTGAAAACTGTTTATGGTATTTTCGTGCACTTGTGAGCCAAAGAGAAAAGACTGAAATTAGTAAGACTTGTATTATATTAGAGTGCCCTTAAAATAATGATTTAAGCATAACTTTACCATCTATAAAAGAATTCTGATACTGTACATAACATCGTATATATGGAAATCCTGTGACTTACATAGCATCTGCTCTTCTATTACTCTTTCTGTCTGGCTGTATGTTGGGTGTTCTATATGCTTTTCTAGTAACTGTTGGGTAATAACTAGGTCTTCTGTAATTTTGTAGTAGTTCATGACCAATCTCTGTGACCCTTAGCACAAACCTAAGGCAATGTTTCTGAAGACTTTCTGAAGATCTCACACTGACCAGGCTCACAACTGTTTTCGAAGAAAGGAAATTCACACTGTGCATTTTAGAGTATGCAAGAAGACTATAAATAAATAAAAATATTCTCTGTGGAGAATTTGAACAAAATTTTCTTTCACTATGTGTTTCATGCAGAAAAGAGAGCTTTCCTATTATGGTTGCTGGGATCACCATAGCCCATTCATGCTCCCCAGCTGACTTCAGGTGATGCTCACTACCTTTATTAGGTTGGGACTCAATCCACAGTCTTAAGAGTCCCAAGCCCCTTATCTAAAAATCACTGGGATTCTAATTAAATAAAATTTGCAGTTCACACTTGGAAAAAGAAAAATCATTCCTATTTTTCATTTTCCTATTCTGTATCTTGGAGTTCCATTCATTCATTCAACAAATGTTTTATTTTTCTGTTATAGGCACTGTTCTAGGACTAGAATTGCAGAAGTGTTCATGGCTGAAAAATTTTGCTTCTCGTGGGAATCTCCCACCACTTGGTATCTACAGTATCTGAATACCTCTAAGAGCACAGAATTGTGCCTTCCAGCTGCTTATGCTTCTACAGTAGGCCCAGTTCACTTCTTCAAGAAATATATTTTGGTGCTGGGTTATTATGAAATAGAGACCATTCTCTATGAATATCCTGTTAAACCATGATAATACCATCTCACTCATTTGGAATACAAGGAGTTCCCTATTTGTCACTTGTAGGGATTAAATGAGTCATTTTTAATAGCATATCAATTGCACAAGTAACCATTGTATTAAACAAACTAGACTCCATAGGAAAGTGATGTTAAAGTCACTTTTTTCCTCTTATCTGTTCCTTCAGATCCCCTCTGAAGGAGGGGTTGACTGTTTCCATGCCTCTATTTGAATTCAGGCTAATCTTATAGCTTTCCTGGCCTCTCAGGCACAGAACAGCCTCATTTTAGAAACTGTTCAACTCTGTGTAATAAGCAAGCCCTCAAATTTGTATCCAGTATAGAGTTCCTCCCCTTGCTCTTGCTGATAGTTTCAGGCTGTAGTTCATTGGCGAGGCAGGGAGGAGCATGTCCAGGGTGACAAGGCTGATGGTGGAGACACAGTCAACTTCTTTTTTAACTCTTTCCAACTACTGTATTTTCCCATCTACAGTCAGATCTAGGGAGAGAAGGGGTCAGAGTAACAAAGTCACAATTTTAGATAACTGTTAAATTGTCAGTTGGCCTCCAGGCCCCTGGTCTATGACATTTTTTTTTTCTCATGGGACAATATTTTGAAAAGAAATTTTTAAATTAAGATATAATTAAGGTACAGTAAGATTCACTCTTTATAGTGTAATATGAGGGGAAGGGGTGGCAGGCGCCATGTCGGGCCGCGAAGGTGGCAAGAAGAAGCCCCTGAAGCAGCCCAAGAAGCAAGCCAAGGAGATGGACGAGGAAGATAAGGCATTCAAGCAGAAGGAGGAGCAGAAGAAACTCAGGAGCTAAAAGCAAAGGCCGCGGGGAAAGGCCCCCTGGCCACTGGTGGAATTAAGAAATCCGGCAAAAAGTAAGCTGTTCCTTGTGCCTGAGGCAATGATGACCCTTAGTTCCATTCCTGTTTAAACACCTGGATTCCCTGCCGTGATATCTGTTGCCGCCTATAGCTAGAATGAAGTGTTGTCTTGGAACCTATTGTACATTTAAGAATAAACTTTTGTATAGTGTAATATGAATTTTGACAAACCCATTCAGTAATGTAACCATCACAATACCTAGAACAGTTCCATCACACCCATAAATTCTCCCACATCCCTTTGTGAGTAGCACCTTCTCCCACCCCTAATTCTTGGCAGCCTCTGATTTGCCTGTTTCTAGAGTCTTGTTTCTCCCATTTTGTAAATGGAATCATATAATATGTAACCTTTTGAGTCTGGCTTCTTTCTCCTAACACCATGCATTTGGAATTCATCCATGTTGTTGTCTGTATCATTTGTTCATTCCTCTTAGTACTGCATAGTATTCCATTTGTATGAATGTGCATTTTTTCTGTTCTCTCACATAAGGAAATATGAGTTGTTTCCAGCCTGGAGCAATTAAAATAAAGCCACTATAAACAGTAGGGTACAGATTCTTTGTGTGAACACAGGTTATCATTTAACTTGGGTAAATAACTAGTGTAGGATTGCTTAATCATATGGCAAGAGTATGTTTATCTGTGAGGTAACTAGTTCCAAAGTGGCTGTACCATTTTGTATTCTCACTAGCATTGCAGAAATTTTCTAGTTGCGCTGTATTTTGCTGACATCTGGTGTTGTTGATTTTTTAAGATTTTAACCATTCTTTTGTTGTTGCTACAGCTTTATTGAAATATAATTCATATGCCATGTAATTCACTCATTTTAAAGTATATCATTCCCTGGCTTGTAAACTGTTCACACAGCTCTAAAGCCATCCCTCCAGTCAAATTTAGAACATTTTAATCATCCCACAAAGAAACCTCATACCCATCAGCAGACATTCCTCATTCCCATATACATATCCTCCCCAGCCCTTGGAAGCCACTACATGGCTTTTTGTCTATTCTAGACATCACATATAAATGAAATCACACAGTTATGTAGTCTTTTGTGACCAAATGTGACTTCGGATGTTTTCAAGGTTTATCTTTGATATAGCATTCATCATTACTTCATTCCTTTTATTGCTGAATAATATCCTATTGCACAGATACACTACTTTTTTTTTATCTCTTCATCAGTTAATGGACATTAAGGTTATCACTTTTTGACTATTTTAAACAATACTAGGCTTTGCAGTTTGGCTCAGATGGTAAAGCATTTGCCTGCAACGCGGGAGACCCGGGTTAAATCCCTGGGTCGGGGAGATCCCCTGCAGAAGGCAATGGCAACCCACTCCAGTATTCTTGCCTGGAAAATCCCATGGATGGAGGAGCCTGGCAGGGTACAGTCCATGGGGTCGCAAAGAGTTGGACACAACTGAGCGACTTCACTTTCACTATGAATATTTGTGTACAAGTCTTTGTATTGACATTATGTTTTGTATTGTTTTTACACTAATAGTGGTGTCTTGCTTTGGTTTTCATTTGCTTTTTTATGGGGCACTTTTGCAAGATTCCACTGGAGTCCTTCCACCTCACTGCACATGAGGCATCAAAGTCTCTCCTCCCGTAATCACTTAGGACTCAGCCCCTCAGCCCTGGGTCCTTGGCCATCCACCTGTCCAGACCTTGTATTGGTACCCCTTCTCTAGATAGTACTCTTGGGTGGAATCTTTTAGGTAAAATCAACTATGTGGGTTACATAAGGAGGGCTTTTAAAATATACACATACAGGATAAAGAATGACTATCACAGAATACTTGAGTACCCACTGCTCAGCCCAGGAAATAAAACATCATCAGTACCTTAAGAGCTCTCCAGCTCCATAATGAACTCTTCCATAACTAGATGCTTTCCTTTCCCCAAGAACTAGATTCATTATTCTGAATTCTGTGTTAATCACTCTTGTTTTTCTATATAGTTTTAATACATATATATGAATCATTATTGTTTAGTTTTACTTGGCTTTGCACTCTATATAAATGAAATATTACAGAATATATACACTTATGACTTATCCATCTGTTCAACATTATGACTTTGTAGGGCCAGTGCTAACCCATAAAGAGCCTAAAGGCACCCCTTCCTTCAGGGATAGACATCCCTGTGCAGGTGTTTTCAGCTTGGCATGTGGAGCACATAGTAGATTCTAGCACCTACTAAGCCTGCTCCCCGAACCTGCAAGCACAGCCTTATGTGGCAGCCTCATGGTTTTGAGATTCACTTTTGATGATGCTATAATCCATTTTTATGGTTGTAATGCTATTTCACTGGTATGAATATACTTAAGTTGGTTTATTTCTTCTAGGAGGGTAGATAAATGATTTTTCCCCCAGTTTTTGCCTTTAGGGACAGTGTTGCTATGGGCAGTCTTGTTTTTGCTTTTTCTTCAGTTAAAAAAAATATATATTGATGAATAGTTTATTTACAATGTATTAATTTCTACTGTACAGCAAAGTAATTCAGATATATATATACACACACACACATATATGTATATATGCACATTCTTTTTCATCATGGTTTATCACAGAATATTGAATATAGCTCCCTGTGCTACACAGTAGGACCTTGCCATTTATCTATTCTATATGTAATAGTTTGTATCCGCCAACTCCAACCTCCCACTCCACCCTTCCCTCAATCTCCTTCCCCCAGCAACACAAATCTATTCTCTGTGTCTGTGAGACTGTTTCTGTTTTCTACATAAGTTCACTTGTGTCGTAATTTAGATTCCACATATAAGTGGTATTTTATGGTCTTTGTCTTTCTCTTTCTGACTCACTTCACTTCACTTAGTATGATTATCTCTAGGTCCATCCATGTTGGCAAATGGCATTTTTTCATTCTTTTTATGGGTGAGTAGTATTCTACTGTGTGTATGTGTATATATTTATATTATATATATATATACACACACCATATTTTGTTTATCCATTCATCTTTTTATGGATGTTTAAGTTGTTTCCATGTCTTGGCTATTGTGAATAGTGCTGCTGTGAATATTGAGGAGCATGTATCTTTTTGAATTATAGTTTTCTTTGGATATGGCCCAAGAATAAGATTGAAGGATCATATGCCAACTCTACTTTTAGTTTTTTGAGGAACCACCATGCTATTTTCCACAATGAATATTCTTTGCATTTGTTTCCTGGTATTCATGTGCAAAATTTTTTCTAAGGCTTAATGCTTAGAAGTGAAATTGCTGGATCATAGAATACTTGTTGAACTTAATTGAGTAAAGCAGAGTGGGCAAACCAAGTTGCACTTTCACCAGCAGTGCACATTTTCCATACCTCACCATCACTTGACTAAATTTTTTGCCAGTCTAGTGGTAATGAAATTGTATCTCCTTGTGGTTTTGTCTTTCCCTAATTACAAATGAGGTTGGGTATCTTTATGTTCTCTCTTCTTTGAAATGCCTAAATCACACTCTTGTCCAATTTTAAATTTAAATATTTACCTTTCTCATATAGTTTTTAGAAGCTCTATATATATTCCAGTCACTAATTCCTTTTGATTGTGTGTTTAATAAATATCTTCTCCTAATTTGGGGCTTGACTTTTCACTTAACTAATGGTCATTTTCTGAAAACATGTATTTAATGTAGTTGGATTGAGCAACATATTTCTTTACAGTTTTTGGTTTTTTATCTGTCTTCTTTAAGAAATTCTTCCCTATACCAAAAAAAAAAAAAGAAAGAAATTCTTCCCTATACCAAAGTCATAAAGATATTCTTAAAAAAAAAAAAAAAAAGATATTCTCATGTATGTATTGACTTCTAAGTTTTATGGCTTTATACTTTTCACATTTAAGTCTTCAATCCACCTAGAATTGATTTTTTGTATTTGGCTCCTCCTCAAGAGTGAAAGGGCTATTATTAGCCCTTTTCTCTTCCATATAAATTTAGAATTAATTCATCAAGTTCCACCAAAATACCTTGTTAGAATTTTTATTGTAGCTTCATTGAATCTGTAAATCAATTTTAAGAATATTAACATATTTTCAATATTGAATATAAATAACCTTAAACAAAGTTTATATCTCCATTTACCTAGGTCACCTTTAATGTCTTTCAGTAAAGTTTCATAATAGACATGCACAGCTTTTGATAGATTTATTCCTATGTGCTTTATACTTTTGTTATTTTAATGGCCTCTTTTTAAAATTGCATTTTCTAAGTCATTGTTGCTGATGTATAGAAATGTAGCTTCTCAGTAATGATTTTGCATCCAGAAAACTTTCTAAAACTCAATTAATTTTGGTTCTTCAGTGTTATAATAATGAGAGCTTTGTTTATTCCTTCCCCCCCCCATTCTCTCTTTTTCTTTTAATTGGAGGATAATTGCCTTATAATATTGTGTTGGCCTCTGCCATACATCAACATGAATCAGCGACAGGTGTACATATGTCCCCTTCCTCCTGAATCTCCCTCCCACCTCCCACTCCATCCCATCGCTCTAGGTTGTCACGGAACACTGGGTTGAGCTCCCTCTGTCACACAGCAAATTCCCACTTGCCATCCCTTTTACATATGGTAATGTACATGTTTTCACGTTATTCTCTCAACTCAATCCCACTCTGTCCTTCCCCCATTGTGTCCCAAGTCTCTTCTTTATGTCTGCGTCTCCATCGTTGCCCTGCGTAAATAAGTTCGTCAGCACTTATCTTTCTAGATTCCATACACGTGTGTTAATATATAATATTGCCTTCCTCTTTCTGTTTATTCCTTTTTGATCCTTATGATCCTCATACCTTTTCCCCCCTTTCCTTTGGTATACTGCACTGCCAGGATATCTAGTACAATGAGATAATGAAGGGTTGGTAGCAGGCATCTTGCCTTATTCCGGAAGTTGGAATATTTTCAGCAGACACCATGTAGTTTTATGTTTCTTTTAGGTTTTTTGGTAGATACACTTTATTGGGTTAAAGAAGTTTTCTTTTATTCATAGTTTACTAAGAGTTTCTGTAATAAATGAATATTCAATTAGTGTTATTATTCATAAGATACTAAAGTTTTCCATATCTTCTTGTGTCTATTTTTGCAAGTTGCATTTTTCCATTTGATGTTTTCAAGTTATTATAAAGTTGTCCACGATAT